AATGCAGTAATCTAATAGCTGTATCTATCGCTATCTTTTTAAACAGTAGCTTAACAAAGTCTCCAAACTGTAGCTTAGTCATGTGGTAGTGTTGCTCAAGGGCCTTGGATTTCTTTTCGTTTTGGTTTTGTTATGTAAAAAATAAATCTTACCCTTTTGAGTCCCTTCAAGGTAAATTACTCTCTAAAGTTGCCTTTTGTTCTTTGTGGACTATAGAAGCAGCCTAGAGAACTAGTTCAGGATTTTTTTGATAATAAGAGCCAGGTAAGATAAACACCATGCGTTGCTCTCAATAGAAACCATGCTGTCATGACACAGACTGATGATAGAGAATTGAATATAAAACAGCGGTTCATCTGAGTATAGTTGGCCATTCATTTTCATCTGTACATCATGAATCTGAATTCAAAGTTCTGTGTTTCTACCCGAAGAGGATTGCTTATTTGTTTGTTGAAGGTGTGAGAAAAGATTGTAAATGATTCTTCTCTTTAGTATCTTCTTATTAGGTAACATTGTCTGTCCAGTGTTATGAGTATCCCTGAGTTTATGTGCAATTTAACAAGGCTTTAAGCTGCTTGCTAGGAAATAAGAAGTGCAAAAAATCAGCTATGACATCAATAAAGCTACTGTGCAAGTGTTAGATCAAAACCTTAGCAGCACGTGGTGATGTACGGTAATGTCTAGATTCTGAATACTGACAGTCATATTTAAGAAAGCTACCATTGGCATAGAGGATCTTATCTTTTTAAACTGGGTGTGAAGTGCATTTGTAGTGCTTAATGAAGGACAGTAAAGTGTGACTAAACATCCGAGAAAAGATTATGAAGTTAAAGACAGTTTGGGTTTAATACCCAGTTATATAGCACTGCCTAATTTAACGGTAGAAACATGCAAATCGCCTCTGTCAGCACTGCCAGGTGTTCCATCTCTTCTCTGCCAACGTTGGCTACAGCATGTCCCGTGAAATGAGCTGAATTCTAGTACTGGGATCAGGGACCCAGCGCTGCTGAATGTTGTTCTGTGATCGGCATTATCTAGTAGGATTGCTGTGGTTTTAGTTTGGGTTTTTATGTTGTTTTTTTAATGTATATATAGCCAGCCCCTCCACAGGAAAATGGCTTTCGGTCCCACTGTTTCCCCTAAAACTTGTTTCCAAAGGCATTTAAAAAGACAACTCAACAGCTCGAAAAATACTAAAATCTGTTTAAATGGAACATTATTAACAACTTAAAGCTAAGAGTTATGCTACAGGCATTTCTTTTTAGTTCTCTTTATTTCTTTACTAATTTTTCTGATATCTCTTTCTGACCCTTTTTTGGTATTTAATTCTTAGGTTTTGCCTAACCGATAACTACCTAGTTCCTATGTATAGAGCATTTAATTATTTTTTACTTCCACTGACAGTTCCTTGCCACTGGTCTAGCAGGGGTTTTGCATTCTAAAAATAAAACTTCTCCATGATATTTTAAATAGCATAAATTAATATTGCAAAGATTCTAATTTTTACTCAGTAGGATGGAGCATAAAAGGAGTAAAAGTTCTCCCTCCCCTTTTCTCTTTATTTCATCCAGGAAACCAACCACAGATGTTTATTGAAGTTTTTTTCTTGTTTTCCTTTCCCCATCCAGATCAAGATATATACTTTTTTATTTTTATTTAAAGGTTCAGAACGTTATTTGTAGCTGGTGAGCACTGTGATGTGGACACGCTAGAATGGTCAAAAAAGGTCTTCAAGGTACCCGTCTTGGACCACTGGTGGCAAACTGGTGAGTGTTTTAACATACCATTTGTAAAATACAGGGAGGAGGTATTTTCAGACTTGTTTCCTGAGCCTGCAGGTAGAACAGGTTTCTCTTTCTGTGAACATTTAAATAGGCAGGACCAAATGTGAAAATAAGAATTCAAGCAGGAAGAATGTTTTTTGGAAGTGGTATAAGAAGGCCTTCAGGATATATTTAAAACACAGCATTTTTAAAAGCTAAATAGGAAAAAAAGGTGTTTCTGATGCCTGTGCTAAAAAAAAGAAAAAGAAAAAAGTTTTCATCGGTATTTTTTCCAGGTGTATTTTTATATTGTTTGCATTTGTGACTATTTTGTCACAGAAAATTTGGTATTTAGGGACGCTTTCAGGTTTAAGTTAAGTTTTTTGCACATATATTTTGTGTAATTAAAAATGAACAACCTGCAGCACAGAATAGACTCCCTGGTCTTTAATATTGTTCTGTATGGATCTCATCCAAGCTCTATTGATTTTTTGGGATGTCTCCTATTTATTTCACTGGAGGAGGATTAGGTATGTGTAGAATACAATGAAGGAATCAGAGAACCAATCTACGTGTAACTGCAAAAATCCCAGTTGAATTCTGGATTAAGGCTTGATCAAATGTATCTCCTTATAACTATGGATTAATATATTTTGATATTTCACTATTACAAGATCAGATTCGGATTTTGTTTCTTGCACACAGTATTGCCATTTACGCTAATGAAGTGTATTACAAAAACTCCCTCCTCCCCTCCCTCCTTCGCTCCCTTCCAAGAATACCTCTTCTATTTTCTGTGCGTCACTGTTTTGAGATGCAAATTTTCTCTGGTCTCTCTCTATACGGAGCAAAATGTTTTGATTCCCCTGTGGTGGGTCAGATAGCAGATATATAAGATTAGAACAGAAAGTGGAAAACTCTTTAGTTCATCTAGAATATATGTTATGTAATGAAATATGTTGAGGAGGTTTAAAATGCATCATTTTTATTAACCCCCCCCACAGTCTTAGGTAAATACTGAGAGTACTGGAAGATAGTAATGTAATTTTTTATTTAATCTTGATTTAATTTGCTAATTAATTGATAAATATGAGGGACAAGACCTATATTCTTCTCACTTCTCTATGATCCTAATGTCCGTAGGCAAGAACAGGCCTTGGTGATGCAGAATGAGCAATTAACTGAAAAAGATTAAAAGATCAAATGATGTCTTTGACTACCTACTGAACCAGCAGTAAGCCATATTACTGTATGTAATTTTGTGGGTGTTTTTATCTGCCTATGTGCACATATACATACATACATATATATATATATATATAAAATTGCCTATAGCTTTGACATACATTTAGTGAAGGGTTTAATGTTCCTGTGTTAATTCAGATGTATCTCAGTTATCAATGAAAGATCTTAAACAATCATGTGGATATATTGTACTCATAGTGTGTAGAGGTAAGACTGCGTTTGAGAGACCTTTCAGAGAAGACCATGAGCTCAGCTCAGAGCATAGTATGTTTCTTGATTTTTATATTCATGGCGTGCTCTTAAATTGTAGCATGACTTAATGAGCTAAGGCCATTTCAAATACAGTGTTTGAGAGCGTTTACTAATTTGATTAGAATGAAGACCCATTTTTATTTCCAAGTGATTTCTGTAGAAATGTGTGCTATTGAATGTAAGCAAGATGTTCAGTCTGAAGGGAAAAATTTACAAAGTCAGAGTTCCTATCAGAGAACTGAATTTCAAGAGATAAGGAGAAAGAAGGAAGGAAGAATCACAGAATCATTGGGGTTGATGGGGATCTCTTGAGGTCATCTAGTTCAACCCCCTGCTCAAGCAGGGTCACCTAGAGAGAGTTGCCCAGGATCCTGTCCAGTTTTGAATATCTCTATGGATGGGGATTCCCCAACATTTCTGGGCAGCCTGTGCCCATGTTTGACCACCCTCACAGTAAAAATGTTTTTTCTTGTGCTCGGCTGGAATTTCCCGTTTCAGCTTGTGCCTGTTGCCTCTTGTCCTGTCAGTGGGCACCACTGAGACGTCTATCTGCCGTTGTTCCCTCCCATGCAGTATTCATACACATCGACAAGATCTCCCCTGAGCCTTCCACAGACTGAACAGTCCTAGCTCTCTCAGCCTCTCTCCATATAAAAGATGTCCCTTTTCCTGGGTGTTCACTGGATTCTCTCCAGTAGCTCCATTTCTTGTACTGGGGAATCCAGAACTGACATTTGCTCTATTCCAGTCTTCAGGAACCTCTCCTAGTCGCCATGACCCTTGTAGGGTAATCTAGAGTGGCATTGCAATGACATCAGCCAGCTCCCTCAGCACTCCTGGATGCAGCTTGTGAGACCCCATGGACTTATGTGTGCCCAGTTTGTTTAAGTGCTTCCTAACCTGGTCCTCTTCCACCAAGTGTAAGTCTTCCTTGCTCCAGAGTCCCTCTGGTCTCAGGGGTCTGGGAATCCTGAAAGTCACTCTTACCAGTAAAGACTGAGGAGAAGGTGGCATTCAGTACCTCAGCCTTTTCTGTGACCTTTGCCACCAGATCCCCTGTCCTGTTCAGCAGCGGGCTCATGTTTTCCCTACTCTTCCTTTTGCTGTTTTGGTACTTCTAGAATCCTTTCTGGTTGCCCTTCATGTCCTTTGCCAGATTCCACTTCAGGTGAGCCTTGGCTTTCCTAACCCCATCCCTGCAAAACTGGACAGCAACTTTATACTCCTTCTGGGTCATTTGCCTCTACATCCACCTCTTGTACACTTCCTTTCTATGTCTGAGTTCAGTCAGGAACTCCTTGCTCATCCATTCAGGCCTCCTGCCTTTGATTTCCTATTTGTCAGGATGGACTTCTCTTGAGCTTGGAGGAGGTGATCCTTGAATATCAACCAGCTCTCCTGGAGCTCTTTCTCTCTACATCCCATCGGATTCTAAGCAGATCTCTGAAGAGATTAGTCTGATGTCCTGAAATCCAGGGCTGTGGTCTTGCTTTTGCCTTGCTCCCTCTTTTCAGAATCTTTAACCCCATTGTCTCATGGTCACTGGAGCCAAGGCTGCTCCTGACCATTTCTTCCCTGTTTGTTAGTATGAGGTCCAGCAGAGCACCCTTTCTTATTGGCTCCTTGATCACCTTTGTCAGGAAGTTGTCATCAATGCACTGCATAAACCTGGATTGCTTGTGCCCCACTGTGTTGTCCTTCCAGAAGACACCAGAGTGCTTAAAGTCCCCCATCAGGATGAGGATCTGTGAATGTGAGACTTCTTCCATTTGTTTGAAGAAGGCCTCATCTGCAGGCCTCATCCTGATCAAGGGGTAGGTCTCCAGCAGATACTCACTACAACAGCATGAATGTTGGTCTGCCTGCTGGTCTTCACCCATAAGTTCTCAACTGGCTCCTGACCTGACCTCTGACAAGGCAGAGCCCCTCTCACATAAAGTGCAACATCCCCTCCTTGCCTCCTAGGCATAAGAAGAAGTGCTTAATAGAATACAAGCTAATAAACTAGATTCAAACTTTAAAATAGATTACGGTCAGATCTGGCAAGTGAGATGAAATACAAATGCTTTTCCCCACACTGTCCTGTGTTCCTGAACTCCCCTTGAGATTAACATGCTCAAATGCTCAGGGGGAAGAAGTGGATCCTCCTCCCTCTGAAAGGCTTTGCTTGTACTGGAGCACAGCACCCGGGGCAGCAGACAAAAGCAACCTTCCCTTCTGCTGTTCAGTCACCTCTTTTTAGCAGAATACAAAATGTATCCTGTTAACTGTGAAAAAACGAGCAGTTATGTCACATTCAACTGTGTGTGTCACTTGGTAAAATTTTGTTGAAAGTGGGTTTCCATGCTGGAAAAGCCTTTTCAATCCAGTAGTACTGTATTGCCATACACTAGGTTAAAGCTGTAAGGTGCTGAATATGAGGGATTTTGCAGAGTAGATAACTAACTGGCTATTTCACTTCATATTAGAAATGTTCAAGGTTAGTGATTGATGACAGAGTAGAGGACCCAAAAATTCAGAAATAACAATTTTCCGAACTATCTCTAAAATAAAAAAATCACAACTAGAAGCACAGAATAAAAACCCCAATCACTTCTAGCAGGAAGAAGTCGAGACAATTAGCTGTTTTATGTAGAGCTAATAATTTTTGAGTGGATTTTTTTTATAACAAAATTCAATTCAAAATAGGAAACTATTAAATTTTATGAATTCCCCTTTTTGCAATGAAATTGTACCTGAAGTTATAAAATGCTGTTTTGTTATGCCTGAGATTGAAAGCTTATGACTGACTTCTAGATATGAAAACACTTTTGACCTTTGATAATCTGGAAGATTGTTACTTATTCCCCAGTTTCTTATTTGTCTACTTTCTTCCAAAACAAGAGCATTGCAAAACTAGGAGAAATGTTGGCATCTTAATTTTACCTGAATACTGTAGATCTTACTTATGCTGTTATGTCTTAGTTGCTGATTCTTCCAACTGAGGCTAAAGCAGAAGATGGAGGAGGAGGGCAATCCAGTATCTGAGTAGCGTTTCTTGTATGATGGGCTAATTTCTATTCCCTTGTTTATGACTGAGAAAAGGAAGGGAGAGATTAGCTTTGTAGAGATGAGAAGCAACCGAGTCATTATTTGGAGGTGGAAATGAGTATGAGTGAAGGGAAACAAAAGGCTGACAAACAAATGTATTCTAAAATGAAAAGGGAGTGTAAACCACTTGCTTCTTCAGGTTTAGTAAGGTATCTTCAAAGGTCTTGGACCCTTTGCCATATATTGAAACTAAAAATAAATGACTATGGACAAAGAAAAACAGGTCGAGTTTTCTTTCATTCTGTCTGGAAGATTTATGGAGTGTATGAAATCACTGTGAGTTGGAACAGTACTTCGAAACAGAAGAAAGCTTTCATTAGAGGACTTCAAAGCACCTACACCTGGAAAACCCGATGGATTAAAACTTTGATTTCTTTCAATATGCCTTCATCAATAACACTTCTTTTAAATGTTAA